ACTTAAATAAATCATAATTCTAGAGGTTTTAACTTTTTACCCTCCTCATCAATGTAATGCATTACAAAAGTGACCAGGATGATTTTCTACACTAGTTTTCCTTCAGCTACAAACTAATAAGTACAAGGTGTTGTGCAAAAAAGGACATTCTTGGCATCCCAAGTTAAAAAAGTAATTCAGCACATTTTTTCGGCTACGCTTGACTTTAAAGTCAAACATTTGGGACAAAATGGCGGTTGCTAAGAAAATAAAGTTAGATGTTCCCTCATTCCAGCCCTTTCGGTTCGTGCAACAAGGACTGTGCTTGTTTGTGCGCCATGATACCCAAGGAACACAAGAGTTTCAGGATCTCTGAAACACTTCAAGCTACTGACTGCGATCACAGCATCATGACCTGCTGTGCCTTCCAGTGAAACCTGACTGAAAATACTGGCATTTCCACTGCTCTCAGCATTTGGATCAACTCACCTGTTAGCAGGTATTTTCACTCATGAAGTCAGTACTTTGTCTATCCTGTTGCAGGCTAAAAACACTCAGAGGCCTTAAGCATCAAGCTAGAATCCTGAGATTAGAGAACTCTGCAAGGATCACACTATATGGTAAGGTGTATATTAATTTAAGACATTACTGTATTTTAATATGACACTTTTATAAATCCAAAATTTAGCAGGACTATTACTCACAAATTCCGTAAGAACAGGTGCGCGAGTGAATTCTTGGCACGCCCCTTCGGAAAGGTTGCCGAACCCCGATTTACTATGACTAAGTAGATGTACTGAAAACTGCAAGACATTACAGCTAAAAAAAAGTTTTCTGGGTTAGAATTCAAGTGGCTCTATTCCAGTTGGATGCTTAACACATGTAGGGAGAAAAGTCACCTAGAGATTTTCCACGAGAACAACAATCACTTCCGTGCAATAATATGTATATTCCAACATTTTAATACGATCCTGCTCACAAGTTAAAAAAAAAAGAGAAATATCAAAATAGGTCATAACTGCATTGTCATTTTACAAAATATTTTATCACCCTCATCTCATACGAAGGCGGGTGGAAACTATGAACCAGTTTTTGACTAGATGATTTGTTGTACGGATGTGTCCTGCTCGATCATATTTTGTAACCGAAGCAACTGTTTAGCAAAGTTGTGACAGCTTTGAACATTAACTGCACAGGTGTAGTTCAGTTTAATTTATTAGGACCATACTGAAAACCTACAATATTGCAAAAAGCGCTGATCCCAGATCTACTAGCTTTAGATTGCAGTTTCTAACAGTATATGGGCAACGCATTCCAAAACACCGTACTGCGGCAATCAGCACCTCTTCGTGCAGCTAAATCGGAAGACTTGGCGTTTACTTCATAGAACTATCATCTGCCAGGCACTGAGGCATAGCCCATCTGTTTTTCCCCCAAAATTCCCTCCAAAACTACAGAAGTGAAGTATCTCCCGATAGTCAAGTATCTCTACTTCATAAACCAACACGTGAACTTTTTCTGCATCGTTTCAAAATGATGATGCTACTCTGGAAATGTCCAGTAAGAAGGTCTTTCAAAAGTTAAAATTGCTAGAAAAAACAGCAAAGATACCACCCATGCCCCCCCTCCTGCAACGTCACAGTTACGCCACTTGATTTACGCGACGTGCATTTAAACAATGCTAGTCACTACCAGAAGTGTCGGACCCGATATCAGAAGGAAAACAAGTTGTGAAATCATTTGATTTTATCATGGCATACTTAACGACAAAAAACCACTGAGGAAACTTTAAACCAAGTTTTAAGAGAGTAGCCAGCAGCTATATCACCCTGCAACCCAGTGAAACTCAGTAGGTGTGAGCCTGGTCAGTAGCTGGATGGGAGACCTCCCAAGAAAGCTAGGGCTGCTGCTGGAAGAGGTGTTAGTGGGGCCAGTAGGGGGCGCTCACCTTCTGGTCTGTGTGGGTCCTAATGCCCAAGTATGGTGATGGGGATGCTATTATGTAAAAAGGGGCCATTCCTTTGGATGAGATATAAAACCAAGATCCTGACTCCCCATGGTCATTAAAAATTACAGAGTGTTTCTCAAAAAGAGTATGGGTGTTACACCAATTTCCTGGCCTTTATTGGTCACGGTCTCCTAATAATCCTCGTTTCTGAATTGACTTTATTGACTCTGTTCTCGTCCACAATGAAAATGAATGTGTGGTGAGCGTACTGGTGCACTTTGGCTGCCATCACACCATCCAGGTATCTGCCACACACTGGTGGTGGTGGAGGGGAGTCCCCATTCCCTGTAAAGCGCTTGGAGTGGAGTGTCCAGAAAAGCTCTATTTAAGAGTAAGGAATTATTATTAGTCTAAAAGAAAATCTTAAACAGGGGTGATCCTTCAATTCAATTCAGTTCAGTTTATTTGTCATATGCACAATGCAATGCTTATTTGCATGTTCCAATTACACACTCAAGGCTGATATCTAATTTAATGCACAATTAAGGTGGAACACAACAGATATAAAATTGGACAAAATGATTTCTAAAGAGCAGAAAAAGTTTTTGGAGAGGAGGACCACAAAGATATAGCTTACTGGTGAATTCTGGTTTCTCATGTAAGGTTAATTTCCAAATTGGATAACAGTGCTTTGTTTATCCTCAATTTTTTACTGCTTCTCATTGTGAAAGTGGATTCTCAGTCCTCACCAGCACAAACACAAAACCAGTTGAGACCAGTGGTCTATTGGTTCCTTTAGATCA